TGCTGGAGTGGTGTGCGAGGTGAAGTCTTGAGTTCGGATAGAGGTGTGGCCCGAATTGCCATGGGGCGGGCTAGTTCGGGTTGTTGCCTTTTGTGTTTGCGAGGCTCGGGGTCCAAGGGAGAGCTCGGGCTCCTTGTGGGGAGTTCGGACCGCGGGTTCCTTTTTTTGGAGCTCATGCTTTAGGCGTACTGTTGTGCCGAACTGCTGCCTTTCCACGTGTTGAGTGGTTACGAGGTCGGGCCAAATCTTCCTTCATCAAAAACCATGAATCAAAATTCTGAGAAATTAGCAAAGGGGTGGGGTAGAAAGGATAGAGATGCAAACATGGCAAGACCAATTTTAATATATACACTAGTGGAAATCCCTTCGATGCACGGGAAAACGAAATGCAATTTTTCGATAATAGTTTAATTTCCAATAAATATTAATCAATATATTATAACAAAAATATAATAAATTAAACTTCAGAAATTTAAATAACAATAATTTAATCTCAAATAATTATTGAAAATATATTTATCACAAAAACATTATTAGTAGAATTAAAATAAATATTAATTTTAATATATACAAATATATAATAGATATAGATAAAGATTTTAAAACTATTATTAATAAATATTAAATTTTCTGAAAATTAGTTTCTAGACTTATCAATTGATATAAATGAATTAATGTTTCGAGTATTATCACATAATAATTATAATTACAATTATATTTTTAATATCTACTAAAAATAATTATAATTATAACCGGAACATGATATAGATAGTATAGATTTATATTGTTTCAGTACTCTCATTTAGGAGCAAATTTTGATTATTAAATTACCAACCAATTAACACTTAAGAAAAATAATCAATTTTTTATTCAGTACCGATTAATAAAATTAAGGGATTTTTACGGATCAGTCCAGCTAACCCCCGTACATACATTGACTATTGTTGTTATGACCTGAACAAATCTCATATCTTTTGTGATCTCTGATTTTCAGCTTTTAACTTCTCAGCCACCTACCCCTCGTACATTCACCTATCGTTCTTTACCGAGACCGGATCTGCTCCTTCTTTACCCCTCTTCCATCGGATTTACTCCTTATTTAAAAAATTTTGACACGTCTTTCGGTGGCCAATTAATCATTACCTAGGACTAGGACCGGTTGTAGTTTTATAAATGACATATAAAAATAAAAAATTGTTAAGTTATACAATTTTTTAAATAAAAAGTTATTATTGACAAAAAAATTCTAAACTCTCTGTTATCAGATTCAGACATTTTCCCTAAACCAACCATTATTAACGGCAAAAAATTCTAAGCTGTATTTTCTTAATTTATAGATTAAAATTAGAATCTGGATTTTTTTGCCTTGATTACTGAGTTCCAAACTCCAATTCATCTTCCAATCCTGAAAACCCTACTTTCTTCACTACAAACCCTAAATCTCATCGCTAAAGCCCGCACCCTGTTGATGCCTGAACCATAAACCCCTAGCTTCCATAACCCCTCTCGATCTCTCACTACAAACACTAGATTTTCTCGAAATGAAGCTCTAATTTGTTGCTCATTTGCATGAAATTCATGAACATTCGTCTAACACTTGGTAAAATGGCAAAAATTCCAAATTTTCCAACCGGTTACAGTTGCCCAATCAAAGGAGAAGAAGAAAAAATAATCGAAAAATATAAGCAAAAAAGGTAATAAAAAATCTCGTGTGGAAAGTGCCGCTCATCGCATCGAATGATGCTGCGTTCGCACAAGATATTCATCATCCCACAGTATCCATAGAAGAGAAGGGTCTAGATCCACCAGGACACTAACTGCCTACCATACAAACAACGCAGTACAGAGCTCTCTTCTCGATGTATCAAATCAAAGAGTGATTACACAGTACGAAGCTTCCATGAAGAAGGAGAAGAAAGGAGAAACTCCCAACTAATGCCTCTTCCCCGATCTCCATTTCGTTTTTGCCCCTCTTGTCCAGAAAGAGATGCATTTTATAGACAGACGCAAATTCTATATTGTTGTTGCCTTGGAGGTAGGACAAGTTACAGGCAGCATCGGACAGATCTCGCACACTGGTGTGGTGAAAGATAAAACTCGGAGGTTTTGAAAAAAAGAGGGCAAGGTGGGCCATTGCCAAAATGCATTTCTGTTTTTACTTTTTACACCTACTTTTATTTGAAAAGAAATATTTTTATTTAGTTGAAAGTATTACTTTTTCTATCGGTTGTAGGTTAATACAATTTAACAACCCTTGACATGTCAAAAAATATTGATAGACTCGAAGAGAAACGCACTGAATCCGAAGTGAGTGGTGGCCAATCTTATCTCACTGCGGGACACGATCTGCTCTTACACACGCACATCCTCTTCAGTCCATCGTTGCCAGTTCGGAATTGATATACAGTTGTTTATTTATCCCTATTTTTTATTTTGAAAGCATTTCTGGCGGCGAAGAAAAGAAAGATTGAATGAGATATGAATGGAGAAAATATGTTATCGGTGCAGTGATACAATCGGCAAAAGAATTGATTCTTTCCATATTTGCAGTCATACGATCGGTGCAGCGATCATGCAATCCGCTTCGTTCCTCCATTATTTAAGGGGAACAATGCTTCAACAACATTACTTGTTCTCACTAAAATTTTAAAGGTGAGTAGTTATGGCTTCTAATTCCAGACGACAAAGTAAAACGGCAAAGGCACTCCAAGAACTGATTAAAGAAATCAAGAAAGAGCCTGTTACAGATTTATCTGAACTTCAACTCAAAATGAAAGACCACTATATTCCATTTTTTGAAGCCTGAGCAAACGTTGGGCGAATGTTGCCGAAAGATTACAGAAAATTTACAACGACAAGATAGGTATATATTTTTCCTTTTTTTTTCTTTCAAAATCCTCTTATTTAACTGATTCATAATAGTTTATTTTTTATAGTATTGGTGAATGCCCGGAGTACGACGGGGAATGCAGTAATGGATTTCATTTTCCTCCCATAATATCGCTCTCAATCGCGGAGAGTACGTCAACCAAGAAAATTTCAACGAGAACGAAGACGATGAAAGCAGGAGCAGGAGTTTAAACGGGAACGATGACGATGAGAGCAGGAGAGAGACTTGCACCCAATCGTAAGGGTGTATGATGAAAATCGTAGGAAATCTCTCTTGTTGGTTTAAGTTAATATGTTAACTTTGTTTGTTGAACTACGACATTAATGTTCCTATTATAAGTCTTGTTTTTATGGTAATTTCAGTCTTATTTATTGTTCGTTGATCGGTTTGAACTCTTATTCGATTTCTAAAACCACCCTGCTCAGTAAGTGCAGTCATCCACAAATCTATACATCAACGACGGCATTTACTGAGCAGACATTTTAATCAAACGTTACACCACCAAAATATCTTTCCTATAAAACCGTCCACAAACTCCCAAAAGATGCACAGGGACGAGAAATAAGAATAGCAAAAGAAACCAACAATGGCGCCCAGGACAAGGAGGATATCTTATACCTACGTTATTTGCCGCACTCAATTTCTCTGAGTTTAGAGAATCTGCAACCATCCAAATAGGTGCTGGTTTAGAGAAGGCACCTTGAACGCGAGTGCGTCTCATTGCGTGCGTTTCAATTCCTATTCAAATATTGAAAACAAACTTATAATTTTCCGAGGGATAAGTTTAAAATTAAAATTGAGTTTTATAAGAGAAAAATTAATTTTCCAATCAAGTGTGCAGGTGCAATTTTTTGTCTAATTTAATCTCTTATGAGATTAAAATCCAACAATGGCCTCTTTGAAGACTGCACTCGTGCCTACATCCGGCAAATCAGGGCCCGGTTCTGTGGGAGGTGGGTGTGTGGGCTGTGTTCAGAGGCTGTCAGAGAGGAGTACTCTGAAAGTATGGGTACAACACGGCATATTATATCGAAAGCTCTACGTGCTCACATGCAAATGTGTCAAAGGTTCAACAAATTCATCAGAGTGAACCCTGCCATGTCTCTTGCAGGTTCAATGACTCAAATTTTGAAGAAGAGCTCCAAGAGAAGGGAAGCTCTCAGTAATGAGGGAAGTAACAAGAAATCTGGTTCAACTGATTATTGAATAAGACTGTTATGCTATTTTTTATTTTTTGCTTCTTTCATTTTTATTTTTGATTTTTGATGTATAATTTCTTGTTTCTTTCATTTTTTGATTTTTCCCCCAGTGTAACTAATGGTAGATGGTTTTACTGTTTTAGTATTTTTTGGTTTCTTGCCTAATGATTATTAATACATGGATCAAAGATGGGTGCATGTGTGGCTACATGCCTGCACTTGTGTCCATTTTATACATAGACATGCATGTCTAGGGCATATGCATGCACATTGAAATGTGATCATAACTTCCATGTATCTGTTCTATATTCTTTTAACACTTTACTTCTTAGAGCAATATTATTGTATAAGACTGTTATGCTATTTGTACAATGGTTAGGCTTAATGTGTGGTATGTTCATGTGTTTAGAGAAACTAATTTTACTGTGGATTGACTAGTGAATCAGGTTCATGTTATGAGTCTGTTGGGTTTTAGTTCTGGTAGTTTAGGTTGGTTTTTCAAGTACATCTGTTTGTGTGATCTTTGGGGAGGGCTACCCCTGGGTTGTGTAGCCTTTGTTTTCCTTATTTACCAAAAAATAGGAGGAAAGAACCTTGAAATTATTAAAATAAAATAGTAAAAAATATTAAAAATCTACACTACTTATATCCCCCCGGCCAAAAGTGTAGTCAAAGCAAAATAACCCATAAATAAATAAAGCCATGAAGAAATTATTTTCATGGCTGACAGAGTTGTATTGACCATTTCCACTATTTACTACAATACTCCCCCTCCAAAACTTAGCTGGGCTATGTTAAAGTTTGATTCATATTATGTCTTGAAATATATGTTGTAAGAGCATAACATTCCATTTAATATTTGTAACATTTATCTGAGTTTTCATTAGATGTTAGTAGTAGCATGCCAAATCTTCAAAAAGTTATTCTCCATACCATTAGATCATATGGGCAACATGACTATCAGGTCTTGCATATAAATCCTAAACCAAGTGTACATCAAAGCTAGTTTATGGGCTATTTCAGGTCAACTGAGATGAGATTAGAAATCAATAGATAACCAACTCATATACATTTAATCTGAAAACAGACTTTTCAAATCCTTCCCTTCTTAAAATCTTACTGTGTTTTCAAGAGACAGGTTCTGAAACATTTGCATCTTCTGGTTGTCCCAACTCCATTAATTTGGTTTGTCTGCTACTGTTCTCATCATACTCTTTAGGCAGTATTCTTTTCCAGAACCAATGCTTTCTCCACATGAGTGTCATTTCTTCAATTGGAACTCCTTTGGTTTCCGGTAGAAAGACATAAACATAGATCGTCATGATAATAATCCATCCTGCAAAGAACAGGAAGATTCCAAACTTGAAAGCACAAAGGAGGAAAAGGAAAGACTGGGCAATTACGAAAGTGAAGAAAAGGTTGACAGCCACAGTAATGCTCTGCCCAGCTGATCTGGTTTCTAAAGAGAATATCTCACTTGGAACAGTCCAGCCAAGTCCTCCCCATGACCACCCAAAGGCCATGACAAAAAGGCAGATAACAACCACCACCAATATCGAGATGCCTTTTGAGAGTTCTGCGCTGCTGTCAAATTTAAGGCCCAAGATTATGGCAACTATTACCTGTATGAAATGCAAAGCTAGTGAGTAACAAAATGCCTATTTTAATCAAAACTGAGCAATCAAAATACTTTTAACTTCTAGCTTGATATGAGAAAATAAACTATGTAGTTTTTACTGTACATATGGCGTCACCTTCTATCCTTTCTGAATATGTTTTAGCCAAAAAATAGAAATTATTTATTGCAGAAACAGAGTAATGACCCAGGAGTCATTCATAGCTGTGAGTAAAGGAAGCAAGTTGTAGTACTAGGTTATAATCAAAATGGGAAACTGAGGGTTTATTGAATTGCTACCTGACATAAAATCATTTGTATTCCACCACTGATTAGTAGAATTCTCCGGCCCCATCTATCAACAGTTGCAATAGAAATAAAAGTTGATAAAACAAGAACTGCTCCAGTCAAGACAGAGGAGTATAGAGAAGCATCCCCACCAAACCCCATGCTCTGGAACAGTACTGGTGCATAAAAGAGAATTGAGTTTATTCCTGTCAATATTTGAAAAGTTGGCATAAAGATTGCCATCACCAATTGCGGTCTATTCCTCGTCTCAAGGATGTTTCTAAATGGATGTTTGATTGCATTTGCAAATTCACTTGCATCGATCATGTCTTGCAACTCTGCATTAACATTATGGGTACCTCTGATCTTCTCCAGAACTTGTCTTCCCTTGTCTTTAAATCCACGTTCGATTAGGCTATTTGGTGTCTCTGGAAGAAGAATTCCTCCTACTGTCATTAATAGTGCTGGTACTGCAGCTAGGCCCAGGGATAGCCTCCATCCCCATGGTTTGATCTTCTCTGTTCCATAATTGACCATGTTTGCAGTAAAGATTCCAAGAGTTGTTGCCAACTGAAACATCATGTTAAGCCCTCCTCGGATATGCACTGGAGCCATTTCTGATAAATACAGTGGGACTGCCTTAAAACACCATGCAATAGGCAAATCAGATATCATGGAACATTTAAAGGAAAGTGGGACAATAAGGGACGTAAGATGCCAGTACTAATTTTCTAACTATTGATCTCGAGCTTGGATAATTTCATTTTCTAATCATATAAGAAATCCAATGTAGATATTCTTGACAATGCAGGAAATTAAATTATGTATAGTTCTATACAAAACAATGGCAAACATACAAGGGGCTTGGTAGAATTTTCTATACTAGAAGTTCAGAAATCAGAAAACAACAATTTTGATACAAATTCAGTGAACTCTTAGTCTTTTCAGTAGAATTTGTCTGATTCTCCAAACTTGCAGGGAATATATTTGAGAAAAAACAATAATACCTGATTTCCGAATCCAATCCCAACCCCAAGCATGATCCGACCCAATATCAGCATTGCCAGGTTCTCTGCAGAAGCATTAAGAGTGGCTCCAACAAGGAAGCTAAGTCCACCATAGATTATACTTATTCTGCGTCCATACTTCCTGGTGACAGGAGAAGCTCCAAGAGATGCAACCAGACCAGCAAGATAAAGAGAAGAGGTAAATGCGGCAAGACCTTGGTTGTTATACTTGCAGTAATTGTTCTCGTGAATGTGTCTTTTTTTGTGATAGACAGCTGGGAAGAATTTTTGTAGGAATGGATCCATAGATGTAACCCCTCCTGTTAATTATCCAATTAACAACATAAGTAGGCGCCTCTTTTGAATTTTTTTTTTCTTTGGAAAAAAGGTATTTAATCAAAGATACAGCAAAACAAGAGCTTAATTATGAGATTTTGTGTTCATTTCTGTTACCCAGAAAAATCAATTACTGATTCATCACAACTTCACATTCCCATATATACTTCGATTAGTAAATTATGACTGGAATGTTCTGTTTCCTTCTTTTTGTTCTTCTGATTAGTTCCAAGGTCTCACCTTTTTGTGGTTGATCTTTTTGGTTTTGGCTATTGATTGATATGCTCTCAAGATCATGATCATCAGAAAAGAGAACTAATTATTTGGAAAAGTAATTGAAACCCAGAAAGAGAAAAGATGGGGAAACCTGAAATTCCGATGTCATAACCGAAGATTGATCCCCCAATGGCAGCAATTATGCAGGTAACGACCACAAACGAGGTGACCTTCCCCTGGTACTGCTGTGCCCTCTCCTTGGCCACACCTACCGGAGCAAACGACCCACCGGCCATCTTCTCGGCTGTGTGTGTGAGTAAGCTCAGAAACTCATAAAACTGAAAGAGATTAGAGTCTCCTCTTGACTTAGCAACCTCAAGTGAGCTGTCGTTGATAATATAGAATTTAAGCCACCGATCCACATCCAAGTCCAAGTCCTGAATTCCTGATAAAGGATAAAGAATTGTAAAAGAAAGAAATCAACTGGGAATAGGAAACCAATTCCACAAGCCTGCATGCACGTGGAATCGTGTGTGGTAGCAGTAGCACTTATCTGAAACTGAAATTGTAGTTTCCAGAATCCAAACTCCTACTCCATTCCATCACCAAAAACAACTCTTTCACTGAAAACCAAAGCAATTATTAATTCAGCAGCTCAATCAATTCAGTTGTTTATCACACGGCTCCACGGCATCGGCCTTTGACTTTACATGGAATCGTGTGTGGGCTTCCATCTCAAAGCATCTCAGTAGCAGAGAAAGAAGGATGGACACTGCTGGTACCTGAGCTACACGACATTACACATCGCGTTCAGCTAATCCGAATTAGGTGGAAGTTGGGACCGTAACTTTTGATGGGTTTATTGGTTTAGCCTAGCTCATTTCCTGCAATTCCAATCATACAACAACACATCAGCATCGTCCATATGAGTTGGGTTATTCTTTTTTTTTATTTTGAAATTTATAGGTGATCACAGTTTGGAAAGAGTGCAAATACAAATATCTTCACTGTAAAACTTTGATTTTGTATTTGTGTTGTGTATATTTGTATTTGGGCTTTTCCCAAACTGCCCAGTCGTGAGAAACAATTTTGGGTGGAGAACAGGGTTATCTTCTTCATGTTTTGATGGAGAAATAGACAACCTGTCATCACCGGCACCGTCCCTTGGTTTCCACCGGAAGATCTGTTCATGGGCCAGGCTTGGGCTCAAATTTTGCAAAAATTTGAATGGAACAGATTCAAAGCCTAACCATGGAACAGTATAAAGTTGGGGCCGAAGGCTTGGGCTCAATTCCTGCCACCACCACTCTGACTGGTACACCCCCTGTTCTTCACCAGTAGCATTAGGTAACAAAAGAAAGGAGAGAAAAAAAAAGGTCCAATCACCGAGGTCTCAGCTAGAGGTGTAAATTGGGCCGGCCCGCAGGCCATGCTGCCCTCCCTTTGGGATAACTTGGGGGTCAGCTCGGCATGGTCCATGGCCCAAGCCCGTGCGGGCTTGTGTCATACCGTATCACGGGCTTGGGCTACAGGGGCATGGGCCAAATCGGGCCAAATTGGTTTTTTACCTGTTTTTGTTTTTTGCTTTTTTTTGACATTTTTGCTTTTTTTTTTATTTCTTTGCTAAGTACAAGTGTAAAACTAAAATATTTAACTTTCATTTGAGCTTTGGGAATTATTTGAAAAGGTAAGAAATGAGAAATCTAACAAATAAATGAAAAAAAAATACTTAACCAAATAAGAATGGAATAACAAATTAGAAGAAAAGTAGGAATTTTATTTCATTTAAATTTGAATGATACAAATTACAAAGCATACAATGGTTAGATACTTGGATGGATAAATGAAATATGAAAATTGGAAAGTAGAATAAATTAATAAAATATAAAAAGTACAATATAGTTACAAATTAAAAATACAAAATTACATGTTAAAAACTAGCAAATAAATTAAATAAAATTAAACAAAATTTACAATAATTTGAAAAAATGTTATACAACTATTGAGTGAGTATACAAAAAATATTGACTTCATCGTTTTCTAATTTTTCTCCTATTGTTCATGACTTTTATCATCTGTTTCAGGTGAAATATTGGGTGTAGTGTCATGTCTTCCTTTGTCTTGTAATCATTTGTCTTCACCATCCAATCAATCTTTAAAGCATATGCACATCTTTATACTTTCATCATTCATACAACTTCTCTTGTCGTCCAACACCCTAGTACCTGCACTAAAACAAGTCCGATGGAACTGTAAACACCAGGGGGTTAGTAGATCACGTGCCATGGCGGTAAGAACTAGATAACTTTTTGAATGTTCACTCCACCAGTATGTGGCTATTCAAGCCTATTAAAACTTAAAATTCTTTTATTTAAAACCCAATTTTCATCAATAAAATGACTGGTAAGACAAATATAACTTATGTTAAATTTAGAAGTCCAAACATCAGAAGTAACTGCAACTTTAAAAATAAGACTAGATAACGTATAAATTAAATTTTGTTTATATAAATAAAAAATTTTTAAAGCATATGATCTAATAGTATTCCTACAAACTTTTTTAAATTGTGGATTTATAGAATTACATAACCATTTTTCAAGTTTAGTATCTTCAGCTAACAAAAATGGTTGTTCAACATGTACAATGTATTTTGCTAATTCTTGCCTCATTTTTTTTTCAAATGTACCAAGCCCCCACCCAATTTGAGTTTGTGTTGTTTCTCTCCCTTCTTCTTCTTCTTCTTCTTCTTCTTCTTCTTCTTTCTCATGGGTGAGCAAATGTCTTTTCAAATGGCCAATGCCACCCTTGCTACAATAGCTAAAGTCTTTCCTGCATATTTTCGTAAATAACTCTTTTTCCCTTCCCCTCAACCTCCTCTACTTTAAATATTTTCCAAATCGGGCTAATCAACTTAGAGGCCCTCTTTTTCTTTCTCCTAGTATCAATACTAGGGGTGGATGTTCCATCAATATCAATAGCATCCATACCGGTGCTAACATTATCATGATGCAATTGAATATTGTCGACGTTGAACATGTTGGGGTATTTGTTTCGGAAGGACCCGACCATTTTTTTAAATTCTAAAAAAATAAAAAATTAATTTAATTGGACTTACCTAGATTGCCGGTTCAGAATCCAACTTGATTTCAACAGTTGAAGCCTTTCAACTCCAAGAGTCCAAGCCTCCCAATTTGCTAACTTGAGATACTTGAGCTGGTTGAGCAAACCTTTTTCTTGTTGAAATCTCAACAAAATTGAGAATTGGAGAATCAATCAATCAGAGTTCAGAGAATGTATGAGAGATGAAACTTGAGATAGTATGAGAACTAGAGAAGAAATTAAGAGAATTGTTGAATTGGTGTGATGAAAATGGTGGAGGATAGAGCAATTTATAGGAATTAAAAATAATTCAATTGCCCAAATACCTTAAAAACTAGTCATTTTTTTGTTGTTGGTAGGGGTATTTTGGTCATTGTAAAATTATTTATCACTTTACCCTAAATTCCCCTAAGCTAGCTGTTATATATTTGTTGGGGGGCATTTTTGTCATTTTTATCCCCCATAACCAAAATACATAAATACCCCCATATAGCTGTTTATAGTTGTTGAGGAGTATTTCTATAATAAAACCCCAAAAAGCTGAAACTAACCATTGGGGGGGGGGGGGGTCGCCAACAACTAGTTCTCAGGTTGGCCGAGTGTGGCCTGGTCATACCATGCTAGCCCGTGATGGGCCATGCCGCGTGCCGTACTACAGGCTGGATCATGTCGACCTGTGGGCCGCGGGCAACATGGCAGCACAATTATGTCGTGCCATACTGGCCCGTGGACTTCAAACCCTAGGTCCAACATGACCCAAACCATCATGTCGAGCTTGGCATGGCCTGTGTGTCATCGTGTCGTGTCGGGATGGTCCAAAGTCGGGCCGGGCCATGGGCGGCACGACCCGATTTACACCTAGTCTTAGCATTCCACACCCATTCCTCCTATTCAATCACTAGGTCTTATTCACCATTGCTTCTTTTTTCTGTTAAATTTCACAACCCTACAACACATGGTCGGTGGATTAGAGAGTAGACAAATGTAAAAAAAAAAAAGAAAAGAACCATCTTAATTTACATTTTAAAAATAAAAAAGAAAAAGTAGTAACTCTAAAAGGAACAAATAATTCAACATTGATTTCACTCAAAACTAACACAAAAAGTTCTTTTGGCAATGAATGAAACATTTAATTTTGATGATGTGCGATGTGGTGCTCCTTGTTGGCAAATAGCTTAGATGTTGTATTGAGTAGGTTGCCTAGTCAAGCTACAAGAGAGAGAGATTAGAGTGTCTGGGTTGCTTTACATGAGGTGGGCACTCTGATGCTTAAGTCGGCAAGCTGGGAAAATGATTACAAAAATGCAAGAGAACTAGAGTGCTTGAGAGATAAATTGTATGTACCTTCTGAGGTTGGAGGTGAGGCCCTTATATAGGCGGGTTGCTGTGAACCTTACGAAATGCATTCGGGATCTCCGGCTCATCTAGTTTGGAGGTGGTTTCACGCCTAGAGATGGACTCTATGCAAGTAGATAATGTTTATCCAATCTCGTCCAAAATGGGTGGGGTGATAGCCAGTTCTTCCAACGTGGCATCGTAATCTTGGGGAATTTGGTGGTGATTGACCACTTAAGGGGGAGGTTGCTCGGCACGTGAGACAGATCATTAACTGGGGCCAGGGAAGTTTGGTGGAAGCAGGTCGCCTCTCACACCGACCTGAGGTCTTGTCTAGCTGTTCGCATGTCGACCTACCGAGGCGGTGCCGAGGTCACTGATGCAGTTGTCTAGCTGTTCGCATGTCTAGCTGTTTGCTTACGTGGTGCCGAGGTATCACCCAGCTATTCTACGGTGCCACGTGTCATGATGTCATTGGAGGACCAAATTATCACTCATCAATTGCCCCCACTCCCAAGTCTGGGGTGGTCAGTCTTTAGAAGGAATAGTTTTAACCTAAGATGATTTGGTTTGTTCTCCATCCTCATTTGTGGTTCGACCAATGGTTCGGGATCGAGTCAGTTCGGTCAATCTGGCCTAGGCACAAGGTAGCGTACTGGGGACGTGCAGATGCCACACAACCATTAGGTTGTCGGATGTCAAAAATGCGCTAAACAGATTTGGACTCGGAATACGAACCACCGCACCCTTGCGATCCGTTGGATCCAACTGATCTCGACTGTCCATAGTTCAGTTCATCTGTCTATAAATAGGACACTCGGGGCCCATTTTCTTGTCCCTATTTTTGGAGTTCCTGGTGAGATCGCAGAGCTCGGCATTACCGAAATGATCAGTATTATCGGGGAGGTTGGTCTATTCATTTTAGGTTAGTCATTTTCCTTAGCTCTGTTTCATTTACAATGTCTGGTAGAAAGTCTGAGGAAGGGACATTGACTCAAGACTAGCATGGTTCTCATAAAAGGGCCTCGTCTTCACATTGGGCTAAAGCACCGGACTAGTTTGATCCCTCCGAGCTCTCTGCAGACAACGTCTATGAGCTCACAACTTGGTATAAGATTCCAAATCAGTTCAAATACTCTCTCCTAGGGGTGAGCAAAAAAAAAAAAAAAAAACAGAACCGATTGAAAAAATCGACCGAAACCGAACCAAAAAATCGATTAACCGAATCGGTTGGGTCGGTGTTTTAAAAAAACCAAAGGTACTGGTTTGGTTTCGGTTAACCAATATAGGGAACCGGAGGTTAACTTAACCGACCAGTATACATATATTTTGATATATTTTACATATATATGTATATTATATATTTTATATATATTATAAAATAAAAATTTGCATTATATATAAATATATGTTTATTATATATGATATATCATTTATTATTTAAAAACTCATGAACCAAACCAATGATCAATCGGTTAACCGATTGGCATTAGTTCGGTTTTGGTTACGGTTTTCCAAAAACAGATAGTACCAACGGTTACCCCTACTCTCTTCCTCTTGAGGGGTACTCGTAGGAGCACAGAGATGATGAGATTGTTGTCTTTGAGGTTGCCTTGAAAGCGGATCTTCGGTTCCCCCCTTCATCCGCTTCTTCTTGAGGTATTGAACTATTACAACATTAGCTTAAATCAACTTCATCCCAACACTATTAGGACCCTAGTTAGCACCATCTCGTTCTGTCACCATGTTGGCTTCCCCTTAGATGTTAAGACTTTTGCCAACCTTTGCCAAACTATGCCATATACATCCCAACACTATTAGCACTCCCGGGATGTATAGTTATTACCTGTCCTACCAACCTTGGTGTAACTTGCTAAATGGCTTACCCTCCAAGGTATCGGCCAAAAGAGGAAGTATTTCTTCCTTGACCAAAGTAGCGGATGGCCATTCCTAACAATTTAGAGAGAGGGAGTAAGGGACTCCATGGAGGAAACTCTAAGTGAGCAAATGCATGCAAGAGTTTATGTCCTAGTGGATCGGAAATCTATGCTAAGTGAGTACTTGGCCGAGAAGAAGCTGATCTAGGCCGAACTGAGTCCTCTAGGTTGGTCATCACCTTAGGCTTGGGCATTTTCTTTTCTTTGTTTACTTTTTTTTTATAGTTTGGCTCACCCTTGAATTTCTTGTGTAGGAGACATGTCGGGCATGCCAACTTCCGGGCTATTCCAAGCCATGAAGAGAAAGAAGAGGAAGGTGGATCACTAAGAGGAACCTTAGGTTGCTACTCCAGAGACCTCCATATGAACTGTTGAGATCGTACCGGTAGTTGACCTAGTCTAGGGTGACCAGCTAGAAAGGACCTCGCTAGAGCCCAAGAGCACTCATACATCCAAAGAGCCCCTTTTACCACCCGAGACTGGGGCATCCGGTGGCACGAATTCTGAAACCAATCTCGAGGAGAGGCGCACCATCATGGACTTTTGGACCACCCTAGTGAAGAGCAAGGAAACCGTCTTTCCTGAAGAGGTCGCGAGGCTTCACGAGTCACATCCCAGTGAGCTCGGGGGAAAACTTATGCGTTGCCTCATGGTGGTATGTTCTCAACCTTTCCGTTGTATTCATTCCGACTTCCATTCTGGACTTATTTCCCTTTATATCTTTTATAGGCAAACACTTTGGTGCATTCTTTGCTGAGGCAGGCTGAGGGTAGTTTGGCTAGGGCCTAGGCTACTAAGGAGGAAGCAGGGGAGTATAGGCCCCGAATTGAACTGGTTGTCCGTCTCATCAGCGACCTGAAGGACGAGCTCATGGTTGAGCGGGGTCGTAATGCAGACTTGACGAGGGAGGTTGAGAAGTTAACTGAGGAGCTTGGGCGCAAGGACCAAAAGTTACAAGGGAAGGAGGCCAACCTCACTGAGCAACAATCCAAGTTTCTTGATAACGTCCATTCTGTCGAGGTCCGTGCAATTGAAGAATTCAAGACTTTGCCCGACTTCTTGAAGGAAAGGGAGGAGTTCGGGTTCGACACCTGTCGTTAGGGATTCAAGCTGTGTCGGATGCTAGTGGCCTTGGTGTGCCCGAAGTTTGACCTCAACAAGTTAAATTCGTTGGCATGCACCGATGAGATGATGGGTTAGGTCAATCAAGAGTCTGACTCTGAGGAGGACAAGGACAAGATCGATGTGGTCAGAGGTAGTGAAGACAGTAGAATTAATGCTAGTGTGGAAGGTATGGGGGTAGATGAGCCTTGAAATGTCTGACTTTTTGCCTCTTTTTTTGGACCCCCAATGTATATATGTTGTATGCCAAGCCTCCGATCACGACTTCCTTAATATTTTTTTTGAGTACTCTGAGCTCGGCTTTTCTTGGAGCCCCAGAATGTCTGACCTTTTGCCTCTTTTATTTTCTTTTTCAGAAGCAACCACACTATTTACGTCAAAATATTTGGGGCACCATTTGTTGTCCTATGAATTAAATTTAAGAAGTTGTTTTGATGACTAATTTTGCTTCCTATGAATTAATTTTAAGAAGGAAAGAGAGAGGACCAAGAGATTGAGAGAAAGAGAAGACTGTTAGGAATAACCCCTATATTTTCCTTGTGCAAATAAGAGATATCTTAACCAATAAATAGCAGATATGTAATAATGAATCAAACAATCAAAACACAAAACAAGCAACAGTGGTAGACACCAAGACTTACATGGAAAACCCTGCAATGTGAAGGTAAAAACCATGGTACCGAAATCCAAATCATCCACTATCAATAATAGTAATGGAATACACTGTTTTTCTATCTAGTTACAACTAAACGATGAACATTAAGAAGGCTCTTGGATTCCCACAACAAAAAGCATCAGTAGAATAGATAGCAAATAAGAAATCTCTCACCAAAGATGGAAGTACAACAATGGAAGCAAGAAGAGATGTTGAAAATGGATTTATCTTCTTCGTTTCAACCCTTGTACATCTCTTTTTTTCCAAACCTTTCTTCTCAAAACCCATTTTCCTGTTTTTTGATGTTTGCTAAAGAGTTATTAGAGTGGAGATTGAATTCTCCCAATTTGTTGGACACCAAAAGACGTATTATCTTGCAAGACAAACTAAAGAATACAAAAAGACCCTTTTCTTGATTTCCCCTTTTTTTCCTTTTCAACTTTTTCTTCATTTTGTTTTTATTCAATTTGTGGGTCCCACCTCATGAGGAAGACAATCCAATAAAGACCACCAATAGAGGGAGACCAGATTAAGTTATTATTCATGGGAGATGTTCCCAATGCAACGGTGGATGTGCATGTGAAGCGCCCAAGTGTGAGGAGCAGATCCCGTCCTGTCCAGAATTTAATGGCAGCGGAAGCTGATGCACCAGCATGAGATCAGACTTGTTGGAGAAGGCGGTATGTACAGTACAGACATGGTTGGATCAAGTGTTCATGGGTTTCACCGTATCTGTGTGGCGATGAACTCGGGGAGTTGCACCCTTACATTGTTCGCGATCCTTTTTTCAAGTTCTTTTCTCTCTCCCCACTGCCTGGTTTTGACGTTGGGATCAATCATATTGTTCTGCTTGAAATTGAAGTCTTAACAGCTGAGGTGGAGGGCTTTGTGAGCTCGGTCTGTTAATGGCTGAAGGCCTGAAAAATGAAGTTGGGTTGGTTTTATTCTTGAATTATTTTATTCATTTAAAAACAAAACAACAAGTCATTCATTCCCAGCCCCAAGTAACGTCAGAGTTTATCTTCATGGAATGAGCTAAAATAAAATCAGTAATATCACCTAGAACTCTAGCAAAGAATTCCAGAGCGTGCCTTTGTTATAAAAAACGGGAAATCCTTTAAAACTCTTTTTGCTATGATGAGACAAAAATGGCAGGTTGTCACAGAGAGAGAAAATCCAAAACTTTCATTATTTTATCTGAAGAAAATATTATTTATTTATTTAGCAAAGGAGGAGGTTGAGCCTCATACAGAACTAGTGAGGCTATCATGACCCCCAACTCTGGACTTGCGTAATTAAATAAAAGAATCAGAAATGGTGAGCAAAGAGATTTGTTGAGAAGCCAGTTCTCATTGTTGTCTTCAGAATTCCCCCAACTCTGCACTCGCATAATTACATAAAAGAATCAGAGATGGTGAGCAGCAAAGAAATTTGGATGAGAGTTCTCGTTGTTGTCTTCAAAGGTCACCCATCCCACCGAGTCTCCATGCCTCTCTTTGGCAGCATTTCTCTTGCTTTCTATCTCACCCACATGATCATTGAATTCTTTCCTCACCACGTCTAGAACAACGTCGCCATGTCTATCACACCATGACCTACAAAGAACAAATTTATACAGAGAATAAGTATCTGAAAAATCAGAATCTGTAAAATTCAAGATGAAAACAAATCTTATCTATCTCATCTGGAATGGGTTATCATCTTATGGATCAGAATTTGATGAAAGCTTCAAATTAAGGATCATTTTTACTTACTGTACAAACAGGAAATGAAGTTAAAAATAGATAGCTTACTTGGGGAAGAACTTCTTCAGTTCAGCTTTATCGGCCGGCAGCCGCGTTGAAATTGCTTCAACTTGGTTATTCCTGTAAAATCCATGGCATCAGAAGAGTATGTAATGAAAGACAAGCATTCTAGATCAGTATAGAAGAAAAGACATTCAAATAGTAGCTTCGATACTTACGAGAATTGAAGGTTCGGATTTTTGGTGTTGAGTTCAGTTTGGATTCGCGACAATTCCTTCTTTATGTTCTCTCCCAGAGCCTTCATAGAATTTTGGACCAAGACACCACAATTAGTTGCACTGGAGTATATGATTTAAATAAATAAAGAGATGACATTAACTGATTTATGCGATTCTGTACCTTGTCAATGCAGAAATCTGGTGCAGAACCATCTGAGTGGATCTTCTTCATCGATTTGGTGGTTGGCCCCACCCCGATTGGGCTATGAATAAGTTCGCAAGGGATCGAAGAAGCATGATGGTCGTCGGATCTTTCTCCAAGAGGCAGAGGAGTTGTTTCGTCCTCTGGATTACTTCTCTTCCACTTTTTCAACCCATTAAATCCCCATTGCTTCTTTTCCATTTTTGATGCTGCCTCGTTTCGATCTTGGACCCAATCGCCGGCGTTTTCATCTCTCTGTTCTCTCTGAAACAGAGCACGGAATGGTTTCTTTTTCACTGTGCTTCCTCCTTCCTTCTCAGCCATAATTGATACTGGTGGTGAGCTTTCTGACATTAGAATGGGCCGGCTCTCGCTTTCCATCTCTTTAGAAGGAAAATCCCAAAATGGGTTTTCTTCGAAATCCCTAAAATCTTGCTCCAAGGATTCTGCAATGGGATTTATTTCCCCCTTCATTCCCTCATTTTTTTCTAGTTTATGAGACGAGCCAAAATCAATCATGACGGCAGCTCCTTTGATAGGTTTCATTGGGGTCCTATTCTTGGGCTTGGTTTTCGATTGCAGTCTGTCTTTATCCATCAAGAATTCCTCATCCTTACGTTGGATAACAGACCACTCCTCTACTGGGTTCTCGGAGGAACCAGCAACAATTACATCTCTAGCATCGATCACAGCTCCTTGAACAGCCATTCGCTGTAACAGAGGTCTCTTCGAAGAGTGATACTCGTCCATGGAAATGCATTTAGCGTAAAACAGCTCCTGAACAAGGAAAACAGAAAAAAAAAACAATTAAAAATCTAGCAAATTATCAGATACCCATTTTCATATATGGTCTTACCTGCAAGAAAAGCAACTTGTCCCTGATGATTGTTGGTTGTTCTAGATCGGCTGGAGAAGCGATAAGAGTTTCAAGGAGGTGAATTCGAAAAGCAGAGACCTCACTTTCCGGAACAATTCCTTCCTTGTGGAGACCAATGAGGTTTAGAATCCGGTGAAATGATTCCTGCTGCCATTTGAGATTTTCCGACTGTTGCTTGGCGAGCTTCTGATCGGCAGTAAGACCAGTCAAGCGCTTCTTCTTGAAGGAAAAGGGGAGGATGTTCTTGCAGAGAGTAGTAATCGTGTCGTGGAGCGAAGAATAGTAAGTTGGGGTGTACGAGTAGTACATTTTCGTTCCGATCCTAGATTCCTCTTCGTCAATTGATGAGGCGATTAGAGAATACGAAAGAAAAAATATATTTTGTGTTGCAGTTGCAGAGCTGCTCTTTGTTTTTTTAGAAACGCCCACCCTTTGTTTTAGGAAAGGAGGTCACTCGACTCAGATTTTTTTGAATAAGGACCGGCAACGGTAACTTGAAATAGCCGTTGTAGGCTTTCCCGTTGAGCAGCTCTCCTTTCCGCGTAGACGCTCCCAGCTTTGTGCCCAATTATAGCCATGTGCGGGTGCGCGGTGCGCCCAATCATTGGAAAAAGGTGCAGCAGATCCCGAGAAATTGGGTCAAAAAATCAAGTCAAAGTTTACGATACACTTGACTGCATCTGCTCCTCACACAGGGCGTCTCACACCGATTTCACACGTACATCTCTCGTATTTATATGGTGAGATATACATGTAAGGACGGAGTGAGGCGCCATAACTGATGAGCAGATCCCAATCCCCTACAGGTTACGGGTTATCTGCTGTTTTAAAGGAATTGGGCCCCACTGTGAAATGTGCGCATCCTATGTATTTTATGAGTCCTGATCTGCTTCTCATGCCTTACAGCGACCTCCTGTACTTGTATTTATTATTTATGGGATATGTTCCCAATACAGGTAGGATGTGACTGTGAGATTGGTGTGAAGCATATTTTGTGAGAAGAAAATATCGTATTTTACTATTAGCGTGGAACCTTATAAATTATAACTGATTTTACAGCCCACTGAACAGCCACCGTATTCAACTAACCCTTAGTCGTTGTAGAATTTATGCGTGACAGATAAAATGAATGTGGGGGTAAAAAAGTAATTAAAAATTAATATCAGTATTTAAAAGAAAGGATAAAATACAAATACATCTTAGTAAAATAACGGAGTAGGTAAATTTAGGGAGTATTCTATAGTATGGATGAAAAATTGATGGATATATTTATAATCTTCTATAAATCAATCTATAAGAAAACTATTTATAATCTTCTACGTTGACCCTGTACCTATGGTGGCAACAATGTCTTGAGGACAAGTTGTATGACCGAAAAACTCAATTAAAAAAAGACACGATAAATAAATTCAGAAAAAAACCAAGGGAAGGCCTCTCCATGAAGAGGCTAAAGTCATAAACTCTTTCAGATATATAGTAAATGATATTGTTATTCACTTTGGAAACTCCATAAATATATTTAATTATAATTCAATTCAACAGTTAGACTCGGTAGTAGGGGTGAACAAAAAAATCGAAAAATCGAATCGATAAAAAAAACCGAAGGTACCGGTTCAGTTTTGGTTAACCAATATAAAAAACCGACGGTTAACCGAATCGACCAATACACATATATTTTTATATATTTAATATATTATAAATTAATAGATATGCATAATATATACAAATAAATGTTTATAATATTTATTATTTAAAATATAATTTATATATATATATATTTATATTTTTATAATATATATTGTAAAAATTAAAAAACTGAAAAACCAATAAACCAAACCAACGATTAACCAAACCAGTCAACCGATTAATCAATTGGCTTTAATTCGATTTCAATTAACGATTTTCTAAAAACCAGTAATAACGATTCGATTACAAAAAAAAACCCACGGACCGACAGAAACTTCATTTTCTCTGACCCCTTTCAAATATATAGTGAATGAACCAAGATGTACGTTGATCTTTTCTATAAATTGGATTTTAGTGAATGAACCAAGATGTACGTTGATCTTTTCTATAAATTGGATTTCTTTTAGTTTAAAGGAATTTAGAACTATAAGATGGTTTTATTGCAATGAAGTCGTAGATTGATAACGTACGGTAATTGAGTCGTGAGAATTGAACTATAAGATGGTTTGATTCAGCAGTTTGTTGAGAGCGAATTGCAATTTGTGCGAGATTACCTTTATAATGGAATGTAATCTTCCTTTCTCTGACATTAAGAGCTACATCTTCTAGATTTGCTACGTGCTGGTACACAAGCTCAACCCTTCCTTGGATAAGTTTGTTCTTGACGTGTGCTCGAAGTCTTTATAAAGTGCACTAAAGCTCCATTGATTCTTCATCTTGAGGACTCAGACGATTATGAGGGAATCAGTGGAATTCAAGAGAAATGCTAGATAATAGCAACTCTAATGGATGACCGGCCCCATTGGTCCGCCCTTCTAAAATAGCCCTGCAAACCCTGAAAGCAAGAACCAGGTTCTCCCCCAATTCAGCGATCCTTTTCCTTCTTACCTTCTTCATCCATAAGCAACTCTTTACAGGAATAGAGTAACCTTTCTTAGGACAATTACCTAAGAAGGTTTTTTTTTTAATAATTTAATCTATATCTATAATAGAAAGAGTTTGTAGGAGAGAGAAGGGTTTTTCACCACAAAGCTCACATGATGTCCTCTCATTTCTCGCACATATGGTTATCTATTTTTAAATGAATTATGTTGCTGCCAAAGTTGGGGCTGAGGGCAATACGGGAATTTTGTTGGTGTCCGAGGCTGATGGGTCCGGCCTATAAGTAGGAGAAGAGTACACGTTAGAGGCCCTAGGTGTTATCCTAGGGGCGGAGACTCTGATGATCAAGTTATCCAAATTTCAAAGAGGGTCGGACCAGGCATGAGATGAGGGCTTAGAACTTCGTCCTTAATAGCTAAGGAGAGATCTCTTGGCATTCTGAATGCAAGAGAGCCAATGTGTCCTTACCTTGAGATGAGCACCCCCTTTTATAGTTGAGCTTGCCTTAGAATGGTTGGAGGCAGTTAGATATGTGCGGCCAGGATTTCATCTGGTCGATGCCATGTGGCACGATCCAAGGCCTTCTAAATACACCTACATCACTTGCCCCCACTCTTGAGACCATAGTGGCCAAGGTCGTATGGTGTGCTGAGGGGAAACCTCACCTCGGCCGAAGAGAGTACTATGTAGATGTGTGGAGGCATTGGAAGGTGTGTTGGACGAAGACCTCGGCTTCGGCCAAAGAGAGTAGCATGTAGTTGCATGAAGGCGTCAACCTCGATTGTTGAGAACTCTTCTTGGCGATTGTGTGGCGACTGCTCCCTTGTTTGCTTCTCGCCTCATCGGTGGATCATGATGGATTGAGAACACAGGTCCGTGGTCAGCACAGGTGTGAGGCATCCACATTCCTTCGGTGTCGTTTCGTTTCCTCGAGGCTGAGGACACATGCAACGCATCGGTTCGGGCTGTCAGGTTGGCGATTCCGTGGCCATTATATCAAAGTGATCTGAGTCGTACATTTTCCTTTAAATAGGGACGTTGGCTGAGTGAGTCCTCACCATTCGCTCAATCCTTGAATTTTCGCTTGTGATCCCAGAGACCTCGGCTACCAACTAGTCGATTCCTTAAGCCTTCTTTCCTCACTTAGACATTAGGTAAAGGACTCATTTCTTCAAACCATGTCGTACTCGGACTCTAGACCTAAGTGCTACGAACTCCCTGACATGAGTGACACTAGCAGTTCCTCTTCCTCCTCATCTAGTAGTGGGAGTGACAACAAAGAATCCGATAGCTCCCCTCAGGCACTTGGCATACAGGTACTGAGGGTGAGGACTGCCCCTGGGGGAGCCGAGCACAACTGACGAGGTAGGGATTGTCCTAATGAAAGTAGTGGCTCCACGAGGCCTAGGGTCAATGCTACGTGGAATTCCCCAACACTTCCTAAAGTGGTGGAACCGGAGGAAGCTAAAGAACCTACTCTTGAGGAGCGGATCGAGGCCGAAGGCCAAGGCGTGATGCTGATGCATTTCCCTTGCTCCAACTTTGATAGTGAGCTCGGTAAAGAGCAAGTGAGGGCTCTTTTCAAGATGTACCATATACCCGGGGGCTATAGAGTTAGAGTCCCTTGTGGCGGTGACCGGTCGTGGTGGCCTGCCAAGGGGGAGGTGTGTGTGCATGAGCACTACCTCCACTACGGCCTCCGTTTCCCTTTGCCTCCTCTTGTTCCTGAAATCCTCAATTATTACAATATCTCCCTCAATCAACTCGCTCTGAGCGCAGTTAGGACCATAGTGGTTGTGTTGGTGATGGCTTGCCTCTTAGGTATGTTGTGACCCTAAAAGTCTTTCGTTGTTTGTTCGCCTTGAGGAAGTATCACGATGGGAATGGTTTATGGTACTTCCAGGGCCGACGGGGTAGAGTAGTGGACAACCTGTCGTTCATCCACAAATAGGAGAAGAAATATTTCTTCGTTCGTTGTCTAGAGGGATGATCCTTTAGGTCCAACTGGGGGACGCCGGACTCGCTGGCTGAGAGGATCAGGCTGTACAATAATGAGGAGTCGGCGTGATGACTCAGATACAGTTGACTGGGATGATTCACACCGGGCCCTTAATAACGGATGAAGCCTTGGTGTGGGCTGGCCTCAGCCTTGCCCCTCGGTACGGGCACTCCCGTTGTTGGCAAGTTATGAAATCTTCTTTGTCATCTTTGTCCTTCTTCTAACATAATCTTTATCTATTGTAGAAATGGATGGTGGCATGAAGGACAGGCTCATACAGACGGCTATGGTGAAACCAAGAAGGGCCCGACCGGGGGCCTTTGAAGAGGCCTATCAATAAGGAGTTGCCTCAGGTGAAGGCACTAGCTAAGGCTAAGAAGAGGGACGCCACACTCAAATGACCCACAGAACCCCTCAAGTTTAGAGGGTGAACAGGTTGGTAATGAGGGACCACCTAGTGGAAGGTGCTGCTAGAGGCTCTTTGCAGTTGGGGCCTCATCCAATCCTCGCGACAACATCCCACTGGCCACACGCAGCGGCAGGCTCTTCTGCCCTAGTTGGAACGTGAAGGAGGGTGACTCCCTCAGCAACCCCAGCGTCAGCCGAGCTTTGGTCATAGGTATGCTCCCTACGAAGGATCAATACTCCTAGACTCAGGTCTCCGTCTAGGGCATTCGGGACACCCTAGTGGATAGACTGTCTAAGGTAAGGCTTTATCTTCCTATGTGGAGTCCACCCTTCTCTCCTTCACATATGTCTACTCATAGAGAACTTATTATACATGCATGTCTGATCATAGAAACCCTCTTATATCTTAATTTTCTCTAGCTATTAAAATCCATCATTAACTCTTCTCTAATAAAACCATTCTTAAATCTTCCTCTCCCTCTTCAATAGTCAATGCTTGTAATATCTTCCCTTTCCCATTAAATCTCTTATTTCTTCTTAAATATCTTTGAACTCCTTTTGACCCTTTCTAATAAAAAATGGGTATAAATTGTATAGATTGGATGGGGTTAAGTGCCAACCCAAACCTAACCAAATTTCTATTCAACCCCGTGCATTTGCATGGGTTAACTTGCTAGTTTAAAAACAGATGGATGAGAAATGAGAGGAGATCCATGTGAACATTGAGGTGTGACTCTTGGCCCCTCTCTCTCTCTCTCTTACTTGCCTTGCCTCATGCCCAGATAAGCATTCCAATATTTTAAGGTCTGTTTGGTTCTATTCCAGACTTCTATTCCTGCAAACCAAACGGAGCCTTAATATATTTATTTTCCTCTCAAGTCTCACCACCTCTTCATGCTCACACTCTCTTAAATATGCAAACGCACACTAGCTTTTTATAAGCAAAAATAAAAAAAGGCCGACTTTTCTTATTGTTTGAGCTTATACAAAAGGTACACTAGCCTATATATCTTATGCCACTAGCCCAATTGCTGAAATCCAGGGCCAACCAAAAGATCACGTAGACTGCCCTACTAGACCAGCCAGAACATATTAAGCTGTAGTTATAGCAGTGATGTATGAATCGATCATTTCACACCTAATATAATTGGACAGGTTGGTGAATGGACAAGAACCATGGACAGATTTGTTTCAATGCTTAAATAGAAATGAAGAAATTAAATGGATCTATCATCCATTCACCGGGAGAATTCAATAGTATAATAAGCTGTTCAAGATGCCAGGTTGAATGGTCGCTCAACTTAAAATAAATAAAATTTTCTTCCACAAGAGAAAAGTGCAAATTGAAACTTGAAAAGACTGAATAAGATAAAAGAGAATGCCTCAAGTGCCCCATTGATGTGCCCCTTAAGTTTGAGTATACACAGCTTAACTGAAACAATTGGGATTAAAAATAATCAAGTGCAGATGAAGTAAAACAAAACCTAAAGCAAAGTAATTGAAGTAAAACCCTAAGCTCAAGTAAGCTAGAATTTGCACTCCCATGCATTCTTTACCAGTGCTAATGAAATCGCACTGCAAATAGATGGAGCTGAGAAACAAATGCAACCAAATGCGGCTGCAAAACAGCAATTTTCAGGGAGTCATTTACTTACAGTCTTTTTTCATGCAACCAAAAGAAGCCCATATATCATTAATAAAATCCACCAACAAGTACATGTTTAGGATCTTAATCAGACCGGATTGTGGTTTACCTGGATCATGATCCATCTTAGATCCATGGGCTTAACCTGAATAGTAAATTATTGAACCTGATATGAGCTAAGCCATGACAGGTTATATATATTGAAAATGGATGAAATAATTCTGTAGAATAAGAAAAGAAATCATGGAGATAAGATCAAAAACTTTGTGATGGGCAACCCCCAATAATTCAGGTTTCAGGGATTCCATCGCATCTCTATCTATGTGAGGGCGTGGATAATGATGCAATAGCTGAATCTGAACCCACCAAGAGGAGACTTTCGGTAACAAAACAAACAGCTGAACTGAATAGCTTATATTTGGTTTGCCTCTTAATCAAAAAGTTATTGTCAGAGTGGTTGTTTAATCCTTAATGGCTGAAACTGAAGTTGATGAGTTGATTACTATACAATTATATTATTTACTTCATCCACTAAAAGATTAACAAGAAGATTTTTTCCACTTCCATCGACTTTAGGTGGTGATGTGAGGACACAAGAAGACAAAGGTCTATAATGGTAGTTACGAGCTCACATTATTCCAATTTTCATTTCTTTTGTTTCAACTGAAAGGTGCAAAATTCTTGGCTTGACCAAGGGTTGAATAACTGATTGAACCAGGCTCTACTGAACCACCCCTTTCTAGGCCCTTTCCAGTGACTCCCATTTCAAAGCATCAGTATCCATATTTAAATCAATACCAGAGCCATGCCTGCAGTAAAGGGGCTCTTTCTGGAGGAAATCCCTTATAATTAAGTTAAACCCAATTGAAATTTCAACCAATGAAGTATATCACTTGTGATGTAAAAACCAGTAAGATCCAGTAAAATCGCAGTTATACCAATACCAGTAGCGTTGCATTATATATATTCCCATTCCAAAATATCTTGTATAGTTGTATTATATTTGCTTACATTCAATAATTCAAAAGGGGCCTTTCCTACACAAGAAGAACGTAGAAGATAGTGATCTTTAGAGCTGTTAGGAGCACTCATTCCGATTCTTTCTTCTCTCTGTCATTTTGGCTGCTAAGTTACAGAGCCAGTCCTCAGGATCTCTCTCTCTCTCCACCCAGATGATAGTCTGTTCATGAGGACAACCAAGTATACAATGAAGAAGGATTAAAAGGAATACAAACAAGAGGAGATAGATTTAGTTCCGTACTAAGTCTTAAATGCTGCCTAACAGATGGTATTTAGATCAAACACTTCTAATTAATCGTGTGATTAGTTAATTTCGCAATAATTAACCAGTATCATGCATGTAAAACTTGACATTTGATGATAACCATGGTGAATATCTTCATAGAAAATCATGGTATATATACTAAGATAAGATTCCCATTCTGCAACATGGGCAATGAGCATTATTCTCCAGCCATGGCACCAAGCATCTGGAATGGAACCTATGGCCGCAGGGAAGCTGCACCAAGGCTTCGCCGGACTTGAACTGTTCTAAGCACACTGTGCACTCATCCTGTTTTGAGTACTTCCAACCCATCTTGGCCCAACTAAACTTCTTCGAGCTGCTCCTCTTCGATCCAAACAGTAATGTTTGCAAATCTCCAAATATGACAGACCGTAAACTGCGACCATTATCCTCACACTTGAAGCTTTCTCCGCTGTTGTGTCTGCATTCAACAGAGAAAAGGAAACCACGGTTGTGGAGGCTGTCACTGTTATATCATGCTAAGCAACCAAACCAAGCCACCGATTGTACAAGTTAGCATGCATGGACCGATGGACTTCAGTACTTTTCTACTGTACCTTTTTGTTTCTGGTTTTCTCTGAGACCTCAGCCTCTCATCCAATCTCTCCTTGGCTTCTCTGGCCACTCCGTCAAGCTTCTCATCTAAAAGGTTCTGGTTCGATTTGGTTATTTGCTAGCGTTGTGTTTAATTCATCTCTGTTAGCACCTTGTGAAATCATCTGAAATTTCTAGCCAACTACCAAAGAAGAAAGGAAAATAAAAGGAAAAATCTGTGAAGTGATAGTTGGGTTCTTCTGAGTCAATACCTTAGAAGAGATTGAAACGAGATGGGTTTCATGGCTGCTTGTGTACAGACAGAAAGATGGGCGCCTTGTTCGAGTGTTCCCGGCTATGCCCTGTGACTCCGCCCAGCTTCCTCCTTGATGGAATCGCCTCCTCCGAGCACACTCAACACCAGGAAGCATTCCAGCCATTGGCACAGACAACCCAGACAGAAATTTACACAAAGCTAAGATAAAAGGAAACGAACATCACTATATGTTTATATGGATGAGCAAGAAAGCAATCAAGATGAAATGATCCTTGCATGCCTCTCTCCTTCCAGAATCTCTGAAACAAGTGAGAAAGGAAGATATGATTCAGCAATCAACTAATGATACCGATTTGAAAATATACACACACACAAAAAAAAAAAAAGAAGAAGATCGTCTCCTCCTAACAACTATCTGATCAACACACTGAACCCAGAATAATAGTGAAATAAATTAAGAAAACAACAAGAACCCATTTGAGATCCTGGCCGACAACAGCGGGACCATGCCATTAAAGCTAGGAAAGGCAGCTCCTCAATCATTTTCACTTTACTGTTTCCCCTTTTTCTTCTCCATCCCCTTTCCCTCCTCAAATCGAATGTAGTCTTTCCACGGTTTCTTAGACTAGTTTATGTGAGAAAGAAAAAAACTGGGGGTGGGGATAGAATGGGACTTGAGTGAAACTTCTCTCCACCTTTCTCCATCCACCGGTTCTGTAGCCACTAACCACGTATAAGGTACAAGATGAGCCACGTGACTGACCTGATCCTCGTCTTCTTCTTCACAAGTTAGTCCTGTAGTGTTTTAATTTTAGGTTCGTCCATGAGAAATGATCCACTAATTGTTAATTAGGTAAAGTGTTGTTGTTTGTGACGTTGTACCAGTGACCATATGGAATGATTTTTGTCAATCGATTAATTAATACGAGTGTCTCGTAACAAAGGGAAAATGCAAGTGATTGTAGACTTGTTGGTCGGTCCAAGGTACTAGAACATGACCTAAGAAATGAGATGGTCAAGTTTCCTCAATCTTAATCGTCACTGGTGGGAAAATTAGGGACATGAGATGTGACCAGAGAACTTTTGCAGAATAGGGCCGTAAGTACCCAGTACTATGTTCAGAGAATCAGCATTCAAATGTACCAATTCACCAGAAACCCAACATTCAAATGTACCAAATGTTCAGACAGCCCTGCAACCCAACTAGAGTTCGAAGTTTAAATCATTTTTCCTGGTTCTGGTTAGAAGCTAGAAGGTGATCTTTATCTAACCCAGTCAGGTCCACGTGAGTTATTTCCTGTTGCTATCACTACCGGTCATGGCAGCAACCAGGAGTAGTGGAAATGAATTGAAATTTTTACGAGTTATTTAAGTTCGATTCATGAAAAACGAACTCAAGCCCAATAAATGAAATTTGGTTTCATGAGGCTTGCGAGCCTAATCAAGTCTAACGCTCACATACTTGAGCTTGAGCCGAGTCGAGTTTTAACATACTAGTTTTTGAGTTGATTTAATTCAAGTTCAAGTCTCTAACTTGAATCGAACTCGAGATTAACATTGTTTGGCAAGTTGACCTCAAATAATCAGATATTTGGCTTGGCCCGACTCAAATCCACCCCTAACAACAGCAACACATTCTTGCATATAGGAGAGTCTCAAAAATCAGGAAGCTATAGTGTACATAACCTACCTTCAGTCCCCAAAAAATCAAAAGGCTTAACGGCATGTTTGTATTGCCTTTCTATTCATGTTGGCACCATTTAGGCGATTGAACTCTACCGATCATAATCTGGCCAGTTTGATTGAGTTGGATCTTCTACCAAAAAAAAATGCACGTTCCAAAACCCTTCTTATATGAAACTGGAATCCACCATAAAACCAGAACCTGCTATATATGACATGTGTGTGGTGTTAAGATCAAGTTGGAAGGATGTTGGTGGAACATATTCTTTTGGGAGGAGATCCGGGATCAGTTTGGTTGAACTGATCAGGTATAAACATTTTATACTACTTCACCACACGTTAGGTGTTTAACCATTTTTTTCATTTTCATTATATAAATCAATACAAACACAACATCCATGCGAGGATTGTTAGCTAATCCTCGTATGTGGGTCGGTTTGCTTTTCTTATATATTCACACATGCATCCTGATGAGGGCAGATTTGGCCCTTTAGTGAAATTGCGACACGTGGCACCTCGTGACAACTAGGCAAACACCCAGGCAAACAACTTACCAAGTTGGTGTCCCACCCGGGCACCGGTCTGGCTGGCCTGAAGTGACCTGCACGCGGCCTGGCGCGGCCCGCGCGGCCTGGCCCAGCCTGCGCACGGCCTGCGCGACCAGGCCGAATCAGCCTGACACATGATCTGACTTGGCAACCTATAAGACGCCCACCGAGAACCATTAACAGCATACCCCGTGAGCTCGGTAGCTCACTAAGGAGCTCGGTAGCTCACCAAGGAGCTCGGTAGCTCACCAAAGAGCTCGCCAAGGAGCTCGCCACCAAGGAGCCAGGCAGCTCGGCATAGCTCCCCCGGGCTTCTCGCCACTTGTAGGGTAGCTCGGTACAGAAGAGTAGTTTGGCGTATCGCAGGAAGATCTCCTGCCTGACAACCTGGCCCAGACACCGACCTGCCGATTGACACAGGCGCCAACCTGGCAACCTGGCTTGGACACAGGCGCCGACCTGGCAACCTGGCCCGGACACCGACCCGCCGACTGACACAGGCGCCGACCTGACAACCTGGCCCAGACACCGATCCGCCGACTGACACAGACGGCGACCTGACAACCTGGCCCAGGCGCCGACCTGGCTGCCTGACAACCTCGAGGAGTTCATCACCGTACCCCGGTTCTGACGGGATATGACGAGTCTTACAGTTTGAAGGCTTTTCACCACTTAACCCACGAGGACACCACTATATAAGGACTCCGACCCCCAAAGCCAAAGAGGAGGAAAAATGATGGTAACCCCTGCTCTCTAGCTCTCTCATTTCTCTCCAAGCTCTTTGTAATCAGAATGCTAACTTAGGCATCAGAGATGGTAACCCCCAAAGCCAACGAGGTACTTAGCCAAAAAATTTATACATCACAAAAAATGGTGCGTGACCAGAAATGGTTATATCAATTGGCGCCGTTTGTGGGAACACGCTACAAAAAGCTAAGTTCTCATCCTACAAAAGCTAAGTTCTCATCTTACCAAAGCTAAGTCCTCACTTTTTAGAAATTGAAGCTATCGCTTTATA